TGACTAACCGAAATGCGAAATTAAGGTATGATTTCGGGAGGATATCCAAACAAGGCCCAAAATCATCTCATTTGCAAAGTAATTTTGTGTTGATGCTTGGCAGGAATGCCTGTCATACATAATGATTAATAATTCGAAGCTTAATTATCTGTAGAGGGTAAATCTGGAGTTGTTACCATGCTTATTGTGTTCTACCATTCTTCCCCCTTCACTCATCAAGGGGGCCCGAAATGATAAATTTCGTACTCGAAAGCAGTTGTACATCTTTGTCTTTTTTAATCTTTTCGAGTGAACTATCATCAAAATTACCATATGAACCTCTTCAGGGATCATTTTGTTGCATCGGCTGATTGGTAGGTTGAGTGTTTGGACATCTGTTAACTGCATTGTCCGAAAAACGGTCTGACTCTAACAATTTTTGTGTGATTCCATTTGGAAATTTGGTTCCTATCGATATTTGGATAATGACTTGTTTATTATCTGCCAACTCTTGAAAAAGATATGCAAACCATCTTTGTCGATTATGGTTCAGAATCGGCTTTCATTTCTGTTACCACCTACCCAAAAGGTGGAGCTGGGAAGTTCGTTTTTGCCTAAAATATTTTTTTCAGATGTGTGGTGTTCGGTTATGATGGTATTCCTTGCCTTGGTTACTGTGTTTGTCTCCACAAGAGGTTTCCCAATGACCTCTTACTCCAGGAAACTTTGCTTGCCATATTTCGAAGACTATTTGCATGATGGGTCTAGCCTGGCTAGAACAGCGAGACTGGGTATTATAACCACCCTGTTTGACGATAAAATTTTCCGTCATGGGTGGATCCACCACTACTCCTACTGGTGCAACTGCGACTACTGCATGCTTGTGTGTGTGTGTATTTCACTATTATCTGTGTCCGAAATTTTGTGTGCCTTCTGTTTTTATGGAATCTTTCGTAAAATCTCGGTAAGAACGATTGGAGGTAGCGTATGTTTGGGATTGAGCATTATCATTTTCCAAAGGCTATTACAACTCGGATAGTGCTTCGCTGAGTACGCTTTTGGTTAAGTGAACAAAATGTAACTTGATCTTGATCAGAAGCTCTTCAGAGTGTTATGTGGAATTGACACACACACACACACATGTATATATATATATATATATATATGATTGCGTGTTCATAATCACATTGTAAATGGGTTAGTTCGGGTGGGGCCCAATGATTTTATTCTACTGCGGCTTTTGAACTTCTTCTGTGGATATAATCGATTCTTCCTCAGGCTCACCACCATACAGTTGTCATTGCTCCCCGCTCCACCTGGCCCACATTGTTCATGCCAACTGTTCTGACCACCGAATTTATGCCCCCGTGATGATGGTGGTGTAANTCCTAGGGGAAAACTAGAACCCTCGTTTCCTCTTGTTTTCATGGTCGCACCTCGTTCGACTGACTGTTTGTGTGATTACCTCCCTGTCATTGGTGTAGCGTTGACACGATCCAGACTGTTTGTGTGCACTCAGGCGTACCTGTTTCCGAGCGCAATACATTTAGTCCAACATTGTCGGTGTCATGATCGACAGACGTGCAAGCATGCGCACGTATTTATCCCCATATAAATGAACCTCCATATATAGCCTGACGTTCGATAACCCAATCGCCGACTTGAGTGTCGCCATTTTCACCCGCTCGAGCGCTCGCTGGGGCGCGATAGGCGAGGGCCGATAGGAAGGAGATCCCGATATACCTACCTATCGATTCTGTCTTGCATGCACAGACAACATAGTTTGTCCGTCTCTCAATCTATCTTCTCCCTGCCGTTGCTGGTGTTAGTGGGCCCATCAACCTGCTCCTCAGGATGGCCCATCCTCTCACATTTTAATGGAGCGCGGTTGCACACGTCACACACAACAGTATTGCTTTGGCCGTTAACCATCCGTAGACCCATAGATATGACATGCCAAAGCTCGTTTAGTTTCGATTGAACGAATCATCTTCACTGACGTGCTAATCCATTTCTTATTCATATAGGCTGGTCGGCATATGCGCATTAAGAAGAAAGTAATCCTGGCGACAGTGGCAGTTCGCCACATAATGCCAGTAAATACAGCTCCGCTGCATTTTCGATGGGTCATTGTTGATAATTTGACAACTATAATGAAGTTTTGATTACTATTATTATCCAATAATTCTGAAGGTTTCTGATACACTCTGGGTTCGAGACATATTTGTATACGATGGTTCGCAGTATCGGATCGTTTACACCTGTTTTTTCTTCATAGAACCTCTTGTGTGTGATAGCTCTGACATCAACGTCAGTATGAGAGCTGTTTGTTCGGTTTTGCTGAGCGAATAAGGACGCTTTTCAGTACCTCAATCAGCGATCTTTCCAAGTGTCTTATGAAATACGCTGATTCCGATCTGGAACTCTTTCTTCCATGTGTAATAAATAGTAGGTAAACTCCCCCAACCAATAAATTCATAACGATTTACGGTCACGTAATGTTTGCGGTATAGTTGTGCACTTCACATTTATTGATATTCTGGCCGTATACCTAGCCGATTATTGCACAATTTTCTTTGAAACCACTCTATAATTTGTTTGTGGATATCGTAGTAGCAGTTAGCTCAAGCAAAAGTACTCAACTTTCTGAAGGATGCACAATTGGTGCTTTCGGCTAGCCGAAACCTAACTTACAAAATAAGATAGTATGCTGGTACCGTAGTTTATTTCCAGCCTGTGTCTTGCTCAATAGATTTTATATAGTAATAATATTTTACTACCTTTTTACTTAATTTGCGATGCTACAGACAATTTTCTCGAGGACCAATCAGTGGTTGACTGAAAATGAATAGAACTGGCGAAGTTGGATGCTATTCATCCGTCCAGTGTACCCAATGGAACCGGTGACCTTTGCAGTAAAGCATCTTGCAGTCAGTTCGATAGCCTCTTTTAGTGCACTTCATTTTATACGTCCTACAACCTTGCATTTCGGCTGCAAACTTGGTCAGGCAATGATGACCAAACCTATATTCTCTAGATAAGCTAATAGCCCGTGGTTGACCCGCCGATTGTATTTGGTATTTCGTTCCTAATTTGATACAAAACATCCTCGCTGCAGAAAAGGACTAGCACTTCTCCAACAGGGACCCACTTCCCGGGGTAAAGGCGAGATCTCTATCGTCGGAATAATTTGTTTTCTTTTGGCTAACGAATTTTAGGTGATCGACTTTCTTTAACCACACTGTTTTCTGCCGTTTTAAAGTGATTAATGTAGAGACTGCTGTTATTTATATTATTGTCAAAGCTGTATGTACTGACCGGACCTCCACCCGCTGCCTCCTTACTTAATGAATGAAATATTCTACGCTTGTGTTGCTAAAAGTCAGCTTTCCTTTAGTTCCAGCGTGTTCTAAAACAGTTATTCAGTCGTTGTCATCGGCATACTTAAATCCCATGGTCCCAGGCTCGAATTGCTCGACCGCCACCCAACTTTGATGTAACATAGCTTTGCCGTCGTTCGGTTCCATACCACACCTAACCTAGCGGGGCCTTACTTGATTCGCCACTGCAAGCCACGGGCCTTGTTTGCCAGCTTCCCTCACTGAGCAGTAGGTCGTCACGACTACGGGGTCCACACCGTCTGCTGTTCATCACATATGTGCGTAATGAAAAAAATTAGAAATTTCACATCTTGCCCCGATGTACACTTAGCGAATTCAGTGATGGTAGCTGGTGGTTCATTTTTGTATTCTTTACTTGAAAGCATATGATTCTTGTTTTGTCACTGTTTATTTCCAGTACTATGCTTGGGGTACGTCTATGAATGCATAAACCAAGGAAGTCTCTCTCGCTCACCTCTGTTTGTACATGCTGCTTGTAATTTTTTACCAGTCGGTTCCCTTTTTTCTTTATCCGTATAGCTTGTCACAGCCGATGGGAGTACGGTGTCTGACTCCGGGCCGACAGACCAAGTGGATGATATCACGACACGGAACAAGGGTGCCGAATTCATATCACATACCAATACGCAGTATGTTGTTGACCGGTCGGTTTTCGATCATATTTCTTTTGTCATTCAACTCTCAGAATGTTTCGCAATCTGTTTTACCTGTTTACTTTTTCTATCTTGGATGTACTACACAATTTATTATTAAGGTTTAATCATCATATTGTCTGCTTAATGGACACCATTATTCCCTTCAGTAATTTGATCAAATAAACCAAGAGTAATAATTTGCCTATTATATCCAAACTCGTGTCCACGTAACTGCACGATGGATGCAAAGGAATTTTCTGAAAGATGCAGTTTTCGAATCCGAAAGTGAAGTAATTATTTGACAATCACTTGCTCATAGTTAATACACATGTCCCTTCCCGGTAGTGGCCAAGTGTTCAGGTCACCAACTTGTGACCTATTAGTCCCGGGTTCAAACCACTCCACCACCGCCCATCTTCCCAGACAGCCTTTGTATGGCCGCGACCCCCCTCCCCTTTCCTGCATATTGGCTGTACATTTGTATATTCAGTAAATAAAAAGGAAGTAAAAAGACATTTATTTATCCGGCTATTAGAGTAGAGCATGACAATCAGTCTGTCTCATTTTGTGTATTCTCATCCAGGGATCTTTATTAATCGTTCTCTTTTCTGTCTGCTCCTTCGCCCCGCAACCCAATCCCGATCGCTCTTCGTCTGGATCGACTGTCTTCTCTTGTTTGCCAGTATGGACGTGGTGACGAGCAATGTAAATGGGACCTCTCATAACAAAAACACTAACAATAATAACAGCAACCACACGACTGCTGCTCCAGCTGATTCCACTTCAGCTACTTTGAGCACCAGTGGAAACGCGATGCACGGTGGACTGGGTAGTGGTATGACAGGAGGGGGAAATGGCGATCCGGACTCCGAGTCCGTGCACAGCGCGAATCAAGGTCAGTTGTTGATGATGGCAGTACCAGTGTCTGGTTTTGATACGCACATTCACGTGTCTGCAATCCACTACTCGAGTTTGATCGCTCTGCATCATTCCCCCATGTGATGCGGAGTAGTTACTCATTACTTCTCCCATCCTCATGAACACTAGTCAGGTAATGTAATCTCAAAGGCCAGTACTTTTGTATTCGCTTGTTCTACCTTAGACAGGTTGCGTGTGCTAACGGTCTCGATAAACATCGCTCACAACAGAAGCCCATTCAACGGTATACGCATTAGATATCAAAATCAACAAGATTCATTAACCCGGCACTTCGGTCTTAGTTGCCGTCTTTTAGTTACCAATCTGTTTTACGAATAATAAAAGCAGTACAATTGAATCGAATGTAAGAGTTTAGAATGCAGATAAAAGTGAGGCGTGCAAAAAAATTCTATGCACTAGCAGATGCGTCCACATTACTCAGTGTTATACCTAAACGTCTTCATCATCATCATCATTGTACAGCGTAATACAGTGAAGCGAACTTCACTGATCGCGTCTTCAAACGTTGATTAAGCTGATTCCGAGTTTCCTAACCGTAAAACTTATAGACACCTACCTTTGGCATACTTCAATCACTGCCTGAGTCAGTCAAGGAATACTATCCCATCACTTGCGTGACAAATAACCCCACGATTGCAGTCTACGAAGAATATTTACTTGACCACGGTTAACTAATAGTACCCATCTAATCTGGGTTATTACTCCATACACATACAACGATTTACAGATTTCAGAACCGTAATTTTGATTCCCTGAGATACAGATAGTGCAAGTTCGACAGCAATGAAAATAGAAAGATATTTGAATACAATTGCGAAAAATACAAATACAGAGAAACAGATTGCAGAGGACAAGAGGAACAGTAGTATTTTTCCATTGTGTACTTTCTGAAGTTTTTATCTTTCTTGGGGTACGGGATTTCAACAGAAAAACCGTGGAATATTCACGCCACTGGCTTGTATTCTGAGTCATTTCTCAGTGTCTCTAACCAACGGCAATTCTTATCTCTTGGGCATCAACTAAGAGGAGAGAAGAACCAGTTAAAGCCAATACAGAAGCAAAATTATTCATATCTTTACGCCAACTGTGCTGTGATCTACACGTCGCTTCCTCCAGCCGAGACCAACATGTTCAAGGAGAGCACGGAGGGGTAGACAACGGACAAACATCATTATTCAAGTAGTGTTTGGCGTGTATATTGTTCAATGTGCTATTCATAAAAACACTCAGCACTTCTGGCAAACTGCAGGATGTATTTTAAATACAGCTTATAGTGTGAGGTTATATAATATTTCTCACCCCGTGTATGCTTTTCCTGAAGGAATTGAAATTCCTGTGATTTTCATTTTCGGGTAATAGGTTCAATCATCACCAATCTAATTGGATCCATCTTTGTTACTTGTCACCGAGTATTGCAGTAGAAAGAGTATGGTTGATAGCGTGTTACGCGTTGTATTATTGAAACCCAAGTCTTTATTGTTTATCTTTATGCACAGTTGCATCGTCCGATGTGAAATGCACTTAGGTTTACACTGTTCCGCTTCATGTATTTCAGCACGATTAAGATGTTCACCAATAGGATTTTCGAACTGCGCAACACAAACGATTCCCTTTGTTCGTAGATATCGTGCCTGAAAGTCAGTGAAGGCAATTGTTAATAGTTGGTTCGAATTTAATTCCCCAGTAGATAAATCACGAGAAATATGCTGGTTTTGATGACTGTCACATCCTTCACTAGTATAATATCATGGGTTTTCTTTCCACCATTCAACGATAGTATGTTATGTTCTATGGGGTCGGGACCAGTTATGGTTCTCATGATTAGTGTGCGTAATTTATCGAAAAGTACCAATATAGTGGTTTGGTTACTCCGAAATCCGCGGACCACGGTATTACCGTTAAGGAATAGGTCGCTTGTGTCCGTTGATGCTACTTGGTTTTCTTTGTTCATTTTATTTCTCTTCATGTTTACCCTCATCATTTATATACCGCATACTTGTCACCGTGCTGAAATAGTTCCCATGTGAAACTTTTTTGACGGATGGTACTTATATACGTCGTCTCATGATAGCATATGTCTACGTGCGTGGGCAACGCCTATGTAATTCTTGCAACAGCAACTGAAGAACATTTCATACCCTTCAGGTGATTCATCCCTCATCATCTCTTTTTCGCATCCACGCACACACCTACAGTACCTGGGCGACAAACGTTTGGGTGGAGTTACTGTTATAGGTTGACGGTATTGTCGTATTTTGTGTGGTCGGTAGCGATCAACAATAGCCTTTTCCTTTCTCTTAACGCACCCAACCACACGCATCTTGCCGTTCCCCATTGTTCGATGCGGTTAGAAAGTTACATTTGCAATTGAGCAACTTTCAGCTGCACTCCGCATTGGTCTATTGATCCCGGTTAGCTTATCAGTTGTATCCAGTGCGTTCAAGTTGTCATGTGATACATCTGAGCAGCCGACATATGACAGGCGCATCGTTTGAAAAAAATCGGGATGAACAATCTGCTCATTCACCTCAAGGTGTTAGTCATCTGTTGAGGCCACGAGATTTCTGCTAGTCCGTTGTATCTGCATTCAACCATATTAATATGACCTTCCAATGAAGTGGAGCCAACTTTATACCCGCCCTCACTACTTTGTTCAGCTTCTTATTTAATCACCGACGTATATGTTTAATTGTGATTTGTTGCGATTCTTGTTTATGAAAGGATGACATTCGACTTAGTAAACCAACTGGCATATGATTAAGTCCGTTCATTCACTTACCTTATACCGTCATCCATCGAATACAGTTGGTAGTTTACCGGTATCTATCCGTGATCTCTGTTTGGTTAAAGCGTTGCACTTCGTACCACTGAATCGCTTTTGCCCTACGGATGTAAACACCTTTTGCTCATCAACCGGTTTTCAAACTGTGCTCTTTGTTTTGTCTTTTGCGTGGTTTTAGTAGTCACCATACATCATCATACAACAGCGAGAAACAGTAAAGCAAACTTCTCCGATCGCTGCCAACCACACAGTGTATACAGAGTTAGTGGTGATATGTAAGGTGGATAGGGGGAATGAAGTAAACCTCTAAGACCAACTCTCAAAGTACACAATCTAACTGTAAATACAGACTATTTGAAGCATTCTGGCCTGATAAAGAATGACAACGAGAACGCTACTGCTGCCGGTTCTCTGACATACCCTTCAGTTGCAGTCTTTCGGATCCCAACCTGAGAGACGCGAGACCCCTAATCTACCCAATAGTTCTGTGCGTTTATTCATGACTCGTCTCCACATCATCTGTTGACCTCCACATGGTTTTCTCTAGCCCGGAGAGCGTACCGTGAATAAAGAGCTTTGCGACAGACATCAGTTGAACATACGCACTAGGTGTCCTAACCAACGAATTCTGTTAATGATTGATTATCCCACACCGCTACTCACAAGTAACTAAGTTAAATTCGAATTCTAATAATCCGAATTCGACGAGCTAGTAGATTCATCCCTGATGAACTCCCAAACGCTAGACGTTTTACCTCAAGGTTACTAACCCGTTCGCTTTATCTCACATGAACCAAACTACGTAACCGCCAGTCATCGAAAACTTTTAGTCGATGAATATCTACTCGCAAACATCGATCCAATCTGATCGAACGCACGATCTTTCAACTTCAGTTAAACGTCGCGCCTACCCCACTAGTGTTTCAGTTCTGTGTACGCTGCTCAAC